GCCCTAGACTAGATGGTCCTGCTCTAGAAGGGGAGTTGGAATCGATGATCTCTGGAGTTTCCTTCCAACCCCTAACATTCTGTGATTCTGTAATTGAGTCATATTTACTTGCACACAGGTATGAAATATCTCTTAAAGCTATACCCGCCTATATATTACTTTAATTCCTATTATATCCCATTGATGTTAAATATGACATACTAAAATATAAGTATACTGTTTGAAAACAGTTCTAAATGTAATTTGTAGAAGACTAAGTCAGAATAGGATAATTCTATGGTGATTTCACAGATTACGAGTTCTTGGGTATCCAAACAAATCCAGCTTCCTCTTCTCTCTTTTAATGTAGCAGAAATTTGAAATTATATTAAGAACCTACTTAAATCTGTCAGAAGAAAGGCAAGCCCTTTTTGACTCTTTGGAACTTTAAGAATAATCTAAGTGTTACTGCTGAAAGTCTAACTGGGTTGGGTGCTAAGCACTAGCTGCAATGCTTTGGTAGACAAGATTTTACAGAGGTTCAATTAAACTTGCAAAAACTAAGTTACAAAACTTACTTTGGACTTATGCCTGCAGTCCCATGTCCTGCAGCCAAACTGAGAAAGGTATATACCTCCAGCACTCCATTTTAGAAAGTATAACTTAAAAAAACCAGTCACCTTATAAAAGAAATTGGTGCGTCCAACAGATCCAATTTTTCCTGTGTGGTTCATGAAACAAATATTTCCTTCAGTAGCACCATAAAACTCACAGATCTTAACAGCACCAAATCTGTCTAAAAATTCTCTCCATATGTCATTTCTTACTCCATTTCCAACTGCTAGGCGGACTTTGTGATTTCTTTCTCCTTCCCTCTGTAAAAAAAAAAAAAAAAAAAAAAATCATAACTGCAGTTGATTGTTGCATATATTGTGGGAAAAATGGCCCTTCTTTAAATACTTCAAGTAAAAACAAAATAAACAAAAAAAACCCAAGAAGATAAAGAAAGCTGGCATAGCTTCTTTACAGCTACAATGTAGGAAATTGCAATCAAAAACCTGTCATCTTGTTGAACAAGCAAATTGCTTCCTGAATGATGGTGACATTAATTCATATAAATGCTTCCAGTATTTTAAAAGTTTAATCATCTCAATCTGTTTCCACTCAGAGGAAATAGAAAACTGGGAGGAACGGAGAAAAGTAGGAATTATGTCTTTCAAGGGATTACAGTAATCAGAGATTAATAGTTACTTTCTTTTGTTTTTTAGACTGGTTAGAAGAAACAATCAGATTTCACACACTTCCAATATCTGTTCCTTCCCACATACTGGGTATGAGTCATCATCCATATTTCTTGCAACACTTTCAATGCTTTGTTCAACGTCACTTGCAATGTTCTTGGTTATCTTGAGTCTTCACTGTTGTCAACTCCCAAGTTTTATTACAAGAAATGCAATAGTACATGTGTTCAGTGAGATTTTCTGATTTTAAGAATACATTTCCAGACCTTGTTATCGCATGGAGTCCCTTTAAAATAAAATCAGATTTAAGTTGAAGTATCAGAAGTCAAAAGATTTGAAATGTTGGCATATATATAAATTTTTTTAAATTTAACTTATTTTAAAATAAGACTCCAATTTCAACCACTGCAAGTGGCAATACAGAATGTCCTAGAAGTGACACATCATGGAATAAATATAGGTATAGTTCGTTACCACATACCTTTAGAACTGCATAGCACTGTGGTACTGCAACACTGTATATACCTCTACACACGCACACTTATACAAATGTATACAAATACCCTTCTATATACAAATGCACAGATATGCACATATTCACACACTTCATATACATATATATGTGTATGTGTGTATATATACATCCACATCTATTACAGAAAGCATAGAGTCCCTATTTTCTCTTCTTTTCTAGTGTCCTTTTCACCTCCCAGCTCTAATCCAATATGAATCAGGTAAGTCTCTACAGTGAAAATCTATTTTAGTATCTTTCATCTGGCATAGAAGCAGAGCAAATTATATCTGCAAAGAGATTGGTTACGCTTACTGAAACAGGAATCTTTAAACATTTTTGATGTTAAAAACACTGAAGCTTCTACAGAGTAAGTAGACAAGAGTGTTCCTCAGAGATTTATGTCTTGGCCAAATTCACTTTTTTATGAGGATCATGAATTCTCACTTCTGTAACAAAAACTACAACCACAGTGAAATTTTAAGTTTCTCTTGTAAATCACAAAGACCAACCAAGTTTTTTTCTTTCCGCTTCAAAGCCAGTAACACACAAAAAGATAAAAAATTCATTTTACTGACCTTCAGAGTCTCTCAACTGGAAATTAAATCCTCTTGCTGGAATCATTCAGCAAGGAACTCACCTATTTCACTATATGCAGCAATGGATCTTGGCAGATTACAATCTGAGGCATTATCTTGCTATTTTAACTCAAAACCACATTACTCATCAGCCTCCCTTAGTTTCTAACCATTCTGTTTTTCTTAAAAAAGCCCAATTCTTCCCTTTGCCCTTCCCCTCTCCTACTTTACTTTAGATGTAAAAGTAATTTCTAAGCTCACAAGCACATAGCTCACAGACTTCATGCTAAATTATTATCAGCACGTGCTGCATTGTACTGTAGTACAATGGAATTGACTGTGGATATAGCCTGGAAGAAAAAAGTCTAAAAATTGTCCACAGATATAATTTTTGCGGTGGTTTATTTTTCAAGTTCAGATGCAATATCACAATGCAACAGTGTAGATTTTAATATATCTGAAATAATAAGGTCTATTATGTTAAAAATGCAAAATCATTACACTGTGAATAACAACAAAAGTATTCATCTTTTTTTGACGAGAAAGTGTTTCAGTTCTTTATCAGGAAAACTTTTAAATAATTTTCCCTCCTGGGAAATTGTCCGCCACCTTTAGAATATTTCAGTCAGCTCAAATTAAAACTTTTCAGAGTGGGTTATTTTGAGTACAGTTTCATTCCTAAACTGAAATTAGCATGTCAGTAACTGAGCTGCAGTTACCCCTTGCTGACACCATCAAACTACTAACATGTACTGCTTCCGCTAAGATATGAAAAATAACACAAGAAATTCTTTCACAGAAATCCTCTGTTCTACAATGAACACAAGAGCAAAATGTGTGTATACATATGTACACCAATCAAGTGTGTAATTCATCAGGCTAGGAACATTCAAAATGTCTAGAGACCAAGTTAATAAGCAGGTGAGTTTCCTTCTATTCATTTTTCAAGAAAAAGAGGAGCATTGATGGTTGTTTGCTGAAAGGCCACAAACTTGGGTGAACTAGAAAACAGTAGCCTACATGGATTATGTTTTTCTTTCTAAAAGTACAAACAGCATCATTTATAAATGCAGTTATTTCAATACTGTAAATTCCTCACATGATTTTTACTGTTTTTATTAATATAGTACCAAGCTGTTGTTTCTCTAGTGGAAAAGATGCCGAGTATACCTGACAGGTCAGCATTCTACTTGCTTGCAATGTTAACATCTATCAACAATGCAATGTATGACAATCTCATGTTAGGAAGTATTTTCTTAAGGCATTCAGTCCTTTTGCAAAAATACAAAGGTGTATGATGTCATCAAGAACTGATCACAGGAAAAAAATTTTCTTAAAAGAGAGGACAGTAACTAACTTCTTCACAACTAAGGTAAACTTTCTGTTAGACTGCATTGCTGTAACTGCTGTATTCGCGATTTAGTGAGCTGCACCACAGTTGTACCAATCTGTCGACACAAGACTCCCTGAGGAGCACTGCTGCTTTTCTGGGGAAAAGGCATTAAAAATGTCATGCATTTAGCAGTCTGTCAACTGTAAGAATGGAAATTACATGTAACTTAATCTCCCAGCAGGTTCAATAACTATGAAGAGAATAATTATAATGAGGTAAACTTTAAACATTGATGATTCACCTTAGGTTTATATGTGAGTAAATTCATACAGCTATTTTTTTTAAAGATTTTAACCGAAGCTTTTGTATAGCTAATATATTACGTTAATTCATGTTGGATTTACATGTAACTTCCTTTAAGTAGAAAGTGAACCATGGTAAATAAAACAGAGTTAGCCATTTGTGCAGCTTTTTCATGACTCAACCTATACATTCATCATCAGCATTATTGTTGAGATCACTACCAGTGTCCAGGTCTAGGGGATGCATGTTGGTACTCATGGGCACTGTGGCCAAAACCTATGCAGTAAACAAAATGCAGTAAATAAGAGAAGGGGAAGAAAAGGGATGATAATTACAACAAATTCCAGAAACATGGTTGTGTGATGCACACTTAGAGTGTCCTAATGTATAAAAATCAAAATAAATAAGTGAGAACTTTTGCCTTAAACAGACTACAGCCCCAAGCAGCCATGCTTTGAATTTCTGCCATGTTCAGATGGCATTTCATCAACTAGCTTCCCTTCAGCACAGCAGACAGAATTATAGGAGTAGGAAGAATTCCAAGGAGTCACCTTGTACACATCTCTTCTGGGAGATAAGCTCTGCTATCCCTGTGTCACTCATGCTTGATACCTGAACATGCTGTGGCACCTCAGCCAGTTACTGTGCAGCTGTTGGTATGCAGCAACTGTCTGCAGGCATATTCTTAGCCTGCTGCAACAACGCAGTACCTAGTTAACACTTACTTCACTAAAAGCTGTATTTCTCCACAACATCTCATTTACAAAGAACTCATTGCCTTGCCCTGGTCAGCTGTCACCAGTAAGTTCAAATAATGTGTGTCCTGTAATAATTTACTCATGCTTTGTGTTTCTGAATGTGATTAACACCACTCAACAGATAATTAGGAAGATGAAGACAGATTTTAGAGTAACAGAATGTTAGAACATCTTTCCAATTTTATTTTTTTTAAATATATATTTATTTAATTTCCTATACTGTGGCTTTCTTTTCTTAAAGACTGATTCTGAAATAAAACGGGAATTCAGTCTATAACTACTTATTTCTAACAGTAAAGGTGAAACAGTTTTTTTCAATGTGTTTTTGAAGCATTATTAAGCAAGAGCTGTTCTTACGTTACACCTGGAATTTTCTTTGGTTCATTCTGGCAAGATCTTTGCACTGTACACCAGATACTGTCTATCTGCACACATCATAAATCATACTATTTCTCCATTTTGATTGCTTATTTCATTTGTATAGTAATTAACTGACAAGTGAAGATCTGCCTTATTGCAGTCAATACCACATACCTGGGATTTTTCATTAGCCAGTCTTTCAGCCTTAAGTGTTCTTTGTAAACTATGTGGACTATCTACATGATTAAGGTGTTGATAAAAAAAATGCCTTTTAAAGTGCCTTTAACAGTATACTAATTGGTGGGGGAAGGATTCATGACTGCATCTATATATAAATGTACTTAGCATTCACTTTAAAATAATACAAGAAAACAGGTTCATTGTCCTACTTTTCCCATTTTTGCAGCAGGAAAAGCCAAATGGAGAGGAGCATATAAAATATGATGGGCAGAGCACACAGGATTTACATTTACATCTTTACAAGGAATGCATTTAACAACACATTGACCAGTTCTCTACTGACACATTAGCCCTGAAAAAGGGGACATCCAGTCGTTAGTAGAAAGACTGTAAGATAATAAATCATCTACTGCCATTATGATCACAGGTGTAAAAAATTCTTCAAGATTCATGCTTACTTTCATTTTTCAGTACTGCCTAGTTGCAATTTGCAGCCAGATTTTTTGAACAAAATACATATCCAGATTTAAATTTACAAGTAAAAGAAAACAGGAAGTGTACTGAAGAGATGTACCATAAGAGTGCAGCAGGAGTTCTAGGAACAGAACACA